CCAAAAAATTCATTCAAAGATGTAATAGCAGGGCCTGGTTCCCTGGCTCGCGCCTACAATTCTAGCACTCTGTGGGAGGTTGAAGCAAGTGGATAATTTAAGCCAAGAAAGAGTTTGAGGTTTCTGTAAGCTATGATGGTCTGGCACTCTACCCAAGGTGACAGAGTGAGCCTGTGTCTCTAAAAAATAAAAATAATTTATTGGTTGTCCTTCACCTTCCCAAGAATTAATGTGGTGACTGTCAAGTAAAATTAGGACCTAGAATGAGCAGACAATGACTGCTGCTTTTAAGAATTCAAGTCAGGGCAAAGAGATTTGTCATGTTATTCTAATGGGCGGGGGGGAGGGAGCTCTAATCGAAGCAGGCCATTGTTAATATACTGCAATATAGTTGAATGGATGAAAGAAAATAAAGTTTATAGCAAACATTTTTTAATTTTGACATATTAGGAAAAGGAAATATATTTTATAGTTGTGGATAGAAGTAGAAGAAAAGGGAAAAAAGCAAGAGTAGATCCAAGGATGCAAGATGAATGTCTTGTCCACATCCTGCGCCTTTTCCATCAACTATCCATCTTGCTGCCATCAGGTACTTATTCACAAATAAAATATCCTTGAAAGATGGACTCCTTTTCTCTTTGCTTCAACGATTTACAAACATGGGGCTTTAGTTGGGCTTCTCTCTTCCATCACACCACCCCCATCTTGTATCACAGTAGTGCTGATAACCTCACGGCCATTTGCTGAAATCTCCCTAGCAGAGATAGGAAGATCCTTCAAGACACATTTGTCCACAATACCAATTCGAGTTCTATCACTCAAAATGTGATGTTGGCCTATCTATTAGGGCATTTGCCTGGTGGTGGGTCTGTGCTTTGGTGCAGCTGAGAATTTGGACCTAAACGTCAGAAACCTAGCTTTTGGTGTCTCCTCAAGCCCATAGAAAGTGTGATGCTCCATGTGTGCTTTTCTTATCCTTTAACTGCCCAGTAGTTGGCAATTTGAATCAAATGGTGCTCTTAAATTGTTCCATCTAGTCATCTGAGTTAGGGTCTTTATGAAAAAAGTGAGGTGGCTTGTCTAGGCAGAATTAATCCTAGTCAGGTTTATCTAAGTCATGTAGCATCAAAATTCTGGGTTTCAAGGCAGCTGCCTGTCTCCTAAAACGTCAGGGTTTTAAGCAGTGGCTTGGATCTTCGTTTCTTAGAGCATTCTTGGTCAAAAAATGACAGTTACCTCAAAGTAAGGCAAGCATGAAATAAAGTTCATTGAGGAAGAGACGGATAGGCTTACATAGTAAGAAAATTTAAAAAACAGGATATATTCACCATAGATGGCAAATGGGTCTCCATTGCCAGGGCAAGTAGGCAAAGAGGCCTAGAGCAAACATTTAATGTATCACTTACTATTTTTGATAGGCATTTTCCAAGTACTTTCGCGTGTAACTCTTTTTTTTTTTTTTAATTGTTGGGGATTCATTGAGGGTACAAGAAACCAGGTTACACGGATTGCATTTGTTAGGTAAAGTCCCTCTTAAAATTATGTCTTGCCCCCAAAAGGTGTGGCACATACCTAGACCCCACCTCCCCTCCTTCCCTCTCTCTGTTCTTCCTTTTCCCTACCCCTTCCCTCCTCCTCCTTTCTCTCCCTGCTCTCCCCTTTCCATACTTCCCACCCTGTACTAGGTCATTAATTGTCCTCATACCAAAATTAAGTACATAGGATTCATGCTTCTCCATTTTTGTGATGCTTTACTAAGAATAATGTGTTCCATTTCCATCTAGGTTAACACAAAGGATGTAAAGTCTCCATCTTTTTTCTTTTTTTGACTGGGGCTGAGTTTGAACCCACCACCTCTGGTACATGGGGCTGGCACCCTGCTCCTTGAGCCACAGGCGCCACCCAAGTCTCCATCTTTTTTAATGGCTGAATAGTATTCCATGGTATACATATACCACAGCTTGTTAATCCATTCCTGGGTTGGTGGGCATTTAGGCTCTTTCCACATTTTGGTGATTGTAAATTGAGCTGTGATAAACAGTTTAGTGCGAGTGTCCTTATGATAAAGGATTTTTTACTTCTGTATAGATGCCCAATAATGGGATTGCAGGATCAAATGGGAAATCTAGCTTGAGTTCTTTGAGGGCTCTCCATCCTTCCTTCCAAAAAGGTTATATTAGTTTGCATTCCCACCAGCAGTGTAAAAGTGTTCCTTTCTCTCCACATCCATGCCAGCATCTGTAGTTTTGAGATTTTGTGATGTGGGCCATTCTCGCTGGCGTTAGATAATATCTCAGGGTGGATTTGATTTGCATTTCTCTAATAATTAGGGGCGATGAGCATTTTTTCATGTATTTGCTAGCTATTCATCTGTCATCTTTAGAGAAGGTTCTGTTCATCTCTCTGGCCCATCAATATATGGGAGTGTTGGCTTTTTTCGTGTGGATTAATTTGAGTTCTCAATAGATCCTAGTTATCAAGCTTTTGTCTGTTGCAAAATATGCAAATATCCTTTCCCATTGTGTAGGTTTTCTATTTGCTTTGGCTGTTGTCTCCTTAGTTTACAGAAGCTTTTCAGTTTAATTAAGTCCCATTTGTCTATTTTTGTTGTTCTTGGAGTTGCCACGGAAGTCTTCTTCATAAAGTCCTTCCCCGGGCCAATATCTTCCAGTGTTTTTCTTTTGCTTTCTTTGAGGACTTTTATCATTTCATGCCATAAATTTAAGTCTTTTATCCATCTTGAATCAATTTCTGTGAGTGGAGAAAGGTGCGGGTCCAGTTTCAATCTCTTTAATCTTATAATAATGTTACAAAGTAGTTACTATTATTTTCACTATTTTACATATAAGGAAACTGAGGCACCAAGCGAATAAGTAGCTTGCCACGTTTACATAGCTACCCTGATGGTAATGGTGGTCCTATATTGATCACGTACTGTATCAGGAAGCCGGTATATAAAATCATTAAAAGCATCTAGCTTCTTAGGTTTCTATTATTGATTTTCCAAGGATCCTAACTGGAAGATTGCATACATCCTAATCATTAAAAACACCATCTATCCTTTCATTTCCCTTTTGTTCAAAATTAATATTTATTGGGTTCTACATGGTAAATATACATATATAGTTTAGCTTCCATTAATAATTTATTATTTTTTTACTTTTATATTTTGATGCAGAGTCTCACACAGTCACCCTGGGTAGAGTGCTGTGGCGTCACAGTTCACAGCCACCTCAAACTCTTGGGTTTAAGTGATCATCTTGTCTCACTTGCCCAAGTAGCGGGGATTACAGGTACCTGCCAGTTTTTCTATTTTTAGTAGGATCGGGGTCTTGCTTTGCTCAGGTTGGTCTCAAACTCCTGAGTTCAGGTAATACACAGACCTCAGTCTCCCAGAGAACTGGAATTACAGGTGTGAGCTACTGAGCTTAGCCTAATAATTTAATTTTTTTTTTTTTTT